CATGCTTCCATCCTTTAACGCAAGATTGATTTTTTTTACTGCAAGATCTTGTTTCTTGCAGTGAGGCTGGTTACAGCAAGAAGTGACAAGAAAAGTGTTCTTCTTTCTTGCGCAAGAAACGATTCTTGGGCAAGAAATGTTACAAGATCTTGCATTCTTGCTTTGGGGAACATCTGCTGAACAAGAACATCGACTAGAGTTGGCACATAAAGTTTTTCACTTCACTAGGAAGCGGCTGTACAGACCATTTTTAACTTTGCTGCGAATGCGAACTATGCATACTATGTCAAAATCGGGTAAATAAATAATTTGAAATGGTTGCTAGTAAACTAGCAAAAAGCTTTACTTCTCATCACCTTTTGTTATAAATATGCAAGGTAAATAAATATAGTCCTTTTTGATAAACAAATATAATTTTCTGACATTTGTAAGCGCTTAATTTTAGAATCCACTATGTGGCTATATCCCGCTCATTGCACGTCTGTGCCCGCCTATATGTGATCCATTTATCAAATGAAAATAATTTTAGCGAATGGTACAGTTAGGAGGCCGACATTGCTGAATTACTTTGTATCCGAGACAAGGTGCTTGTTATCGCATTGGCGATATACTTTTATTTTCTTCATGAACATTTTTCTAGTAGTTTCGGCGTGCCATACGCATTACGCATATAATCATTGAATGATTATACATACGCAATGCGTTTTGAATCAACATATTCATCACTGTCTGAGGCTGCGATGAATATATTGATTCAAAACGGACACACTGTCGGAAGTTATGCATGACTTATCAAGCGTACACAAAATTCTTTTTATGATATATAACACGAGATAACCAATGAGTTAGAGATTCTCTTCCTTGTATGATCATTTCTTTTGTACACATGTTTTAACAAATTCTTATTTTTGTTTTTCTTAGAATGTCGAACAGTAGTAATTCAAGCAATGTTCTACCTCCTCGTGAAATAGAAATAATTAAACAAGCCTTTCGTCTATTAGACGACAAGCCTTTCGTTTTAGTTTCTTGACGCTGGAGTCCTGATAAATTAAATCCAACAAAAAAATATATCTTCGACAGTTGAACAGCTTTATGACAAATTGTTTATTATGTTAGGTGTAATGTTTATACTGACACATGTTTCTTCAGAATTATGGCAAGCACCCATTACTCCGTAATTTGATTTGAAATAAAATGAATTAAAATCTGTGCACATTTACTGTTGCCGTTTTTCAAGTTTAATATAAATTTGTGAAGGTGCGATGACTATTACTTCAATAACGTTTAGGTTTTTCTCAAGTTTATCGGTTTTAACGATTGTGTATTGTTTCAATAATCTTGTGAGTAGCATTTTCATTTCCACTAATGCCAAACGCATTCCAACGCAACGTGTTTGTTCAGTTATTCCACGTGAATTAATCTGGTATTGTGCAATACCTATTACAGATTTAAATGATAATATGAAATATGGGAATGATAATAATTTCGTGGTCCAACTCCAAATGCGAGGAATGCAAGAGGATGACGTTTTGTCAAATGTCGTTCGGGACAAAAATTGTTCACATCTTGTGGACCCCATAATTCTTGATCATAATGAATTGAGTATACGTCTGGTTGTACAATAGCTCCTAAACACAAAATGAGAAAAATAAGATTTATAACACGTCATTTTTTTTAATGATTCTATTATATCATGCATCGGTCATATGAAAACCTGAAAGTTGGACTGTAAGAAACTAGACATTTGAGGGGAAAAGCCTATCGCCTTGGTTCTGGATGTAGGTATACGCCGGTACCGGTACCCATACCGAAAATATCCACTTTTTTTTATTTGGATTTTTTTATTTGAAATAGGATATTTTAGCGTCCTGGACGCCCAAGAAGAATCAGGAACGTAAAACAAAAACTTTGTTTGCTTTCTAAAACCAAAGTTTTTCTTTTTTTCTATCTGTACATGCTCAGAATACGCAGCTGTGTGTTTTTTATGCGTTCTGCCTGTCCAAGATGCTAAAATATCTCATTTCAAATAAAAAAAAGTTCAAAAATATCCTAGTAGAAAAAGGGCGGTATTTTCGGTATTTGGTATACCGATACGGGTGCATGCCTATCTAGATGTAAAGCCCACAAAACGCCGACAAATGTTTGTATTAGTAGGAGTAAAAAGAGCGGTACGCGTTGAGGGATTCTCATTGTAAAAAAACTCATTTTAGATATCGCATATCTTTTGATAACGTAAATTTCGGTATAAATTTCGATTTTAATTTTGAACCAGTAAGCATGAACTGCTGAAGATTCTCGATGCGAATGAATTCCTGGTGAATTCTTAGTTACCTTTAGTTATTTTAATTCCACAAATATCTGTTTCCTGTGTACATTCACGATTCATAATTCCTGATATTGCTATTGGATGCATTCTGAGTACTTCTTTGATAACCATATCCATGTATGGCATACGATTTATCACATCATAGTCAGGATCTTCCTCATCCTCATTTTGCAAGAGATATTCATCAATTTCTTCTTGTAATTTAAGTTGTTCCTCTGGATGATTAGCCAAAACATATGTACAATAGGCAAGAGCTGTTGATGTTGTCTCATAACCGGCAATCATAAATAGAAAAACGTTAGCAATAACTTCATCGTACGTTAATTTTTTTGCAATATATTGTTCATCGACGTCGTCTTTTTTATCCTATAGAGTTGAAAAGAATATATGAAGCATATGAAGTAGTCTGTTATTTACTTTTATCTGTTCACGACTTGCTGCTTCCAGCATCAATTGCAGTAAATCAACGCGTTGCTTAGCTACGTCTGATCTCATTTCAATAACTTCGCCAACACGTGCCATGATCCAGGTGCCTGGTATTGGTTCGAATTTTTTGATAGTTGATGGGAACAGCTGATTCAATTTTTGTCTAACTTTGTTTTGAAATATAAATAGATCACCGACAATAACCCCCACCGGCGGAACTAATGTGCCCAATTTGAACAATGGCATATTCTGAAAATTAACTGAAAACGCCTGACCCACCTTTTTTAAATAGATGTTATCCGGATTGTTCTGCATATCGGTATCAACACCAAAAGCACATCGACCTGTGGAGAAAAAAACTATTCTATGATTATATAAGGTTGATAAAGCATCTTCATCTTACATATAACATCCATGGTCAGTCGTTTGTACAGTACATAAATATTAAAGTCTTCATGTTTCTCACTATAGTCGGGTAATTTTTTCATTAGTTCATTGATACAGTTATTTATGAGCGGTGACATTTGCTTCAATTTAACAGCAGAAAATGTAGGATTTATGACGTTTCGTTGACGTTTCCATCTCGTGCCCAGGGCACTGAACAAATGAATACGTTTACCTTTGTTAAGTGCTTTTGAAAATATGGTCGTTTTTCGAATTGGAAAATGTGAAAATTGTTTAATGAATACTTCTTGTAAAAAATCAACATCGGACACAATGTAATGTGGTCGCGTACCTTCAAATATACCATATATTTTTCCAAATTGTTTAGACCATTCGACTAATTGTCGAGATGGAGATTCAGCATTCCATAGCGTTTTCACATTGCCAAAGAAATAGGACGGCGTGGGTCCGGGTATTTGACGTGCTTTAAAATATTCATATTGTTTTACATAGATAATAATAAAAGTAATAATCAAAATTAAAATTATCGAATATAATATGAGTGTAAAAAGCATGGTTGTTGCTCTGAAAGAAAAACGACGTATATATAAAAAAATTGCAGCGCAGCATAAGAACGTACAAAGGTTTGATATCGCTCACCTGGACATAAGAATAGAAAAATAATGTATACTTTGAATACGTACTTATATTATTGAATAATCCGTTCATATTACAGTGGAATGCATACTCTTGTCAAGTACGAATTATATGATCCGTATCTAAAATACCATTTTTTCTTACTCTAGATAAAATATTGAGTGTAGTTAAGAATTACTGTTTAATATATAATTATTATACCGAATGGTGCGTTTAGTGATTGCAATATTTAACAAGACTAACAGTAATTGAACTGATATAAATATGATGTCTTGATCGACAGATTTTAGTTGAAAACTCGCGAAACTTGTTCTAGAATTAGACGCATATTAAACAATCTGATCTGAATAATTCAGAAAAGTCCCGTATAGTTTCTGCTGGCATTTGTAATACGAAATCTCACAGCGCTTAAGGTGTTTCTTCGAGCAGTTTTATAAGCTGGAAAAACTCTAACTTTACTCGTCTGGCACATTCAAATTTACCGATAAAGATATTTGCGGTTATTCGTTACCATATCATTCAACAGGATCGGCAAGTGTATGGAGTCCACCGAATACCGTTACAAGCGATCGATGTGAGCTGCCTTATATGAACGTAGACAAAGTTGCAATAATTTATGTCGGGCAGTCAGAGATTGCTGAACATTCCCCAATAGGCGCTGTCTAGATTTAGTCAAACTGATTATCCGATAGTTCGCCTCAGCTGCCATGAACAGTTCTCGTAGAAATAAATTCGATTCCATTCAAAGATTATAGATAATAATCATAGAATTTGGACTGACTTTGGATGAACCGACGATAAAGGGTAAAGAGAGACATGTCATACGAACAGTAAAGAAAGACATCATTAGAAAATTTGGTGCTCACAACACGCTGAGCCAAATTAGATAAATAATGGGTGTCAGATGCAATTTTCTCGATGAATCCGACAACTGGTTCCATTTAATTCCAGTTTGTCTTCTTTTTTGGTGTTGACATAATCTACGTGATTTTCCCCTATTTTCAATTTCAAGAAAAATGAAATTCAGGCAAAATTTACGTAGATTATGTCAATGCCAAAGAAGAAGTCAGAATGGAATTAATCACATTGTACAACCGTGACTGTGGTATCTTATCGTGTTAGAAAGTAAATATATTCCATAACTGAAATGCAAGGGTGTGTATGTAAACTTCAATGTTATTTTTTATTTGTAACATAAATGTTCTCTTTTCTCGAAATCATCTCAAAAAAATGATTACTGTCTGTCAAAAAAAATTAGGCACGTGACTATTTTTTGAATAGCTCAGCATCAAATAACGATAGACATTTGCGGTTTTCACCATTCGATAGCCAAAACTTGACGCTCACCTAGTATAGGTTTTCACTCTGTTGCTGCGTTTTGTTCTGAAAACTAATATTGCCAAGAGATTCAGCATAGTCGGTAACCTATGGTTTCACTCATTTCTGACAGTCCCAAACCTAACGGCAGAAAAGTGCGAAGGCTTCAAGGAAAAGGTCCATAGCTCCCGAATCATGGGTTTTCAAGATGTCGCTTCAATGCTGTTTTGTAGGAGATACTTCAGACTATATATGCCCCTAAAAACATCACTAGATTCCTGTTTTAATTTCGGAAAATCCAAGCTAGTTTTCCAAAGATCTTCTGGAAAACTGCCTTTGGAAATTGCTCAGAAAGTCGGTTTTGCTTGTTAAATGATAGCCTCAAGTTTTGGCTATCGAATGGTGAGAACCACAAGTGTCTATCTTTATTTGATGCTGAGTTATTCAAAAAATAGTCACGTGCCTAATTTTTTTGACAGACAGTAGTTTACAGATCTTAGCTGACATGATCAGTGATATTAAAGTTCAAATTGACAGCTAGAAAATATCAATTGATCGAACATTAGAGCCATTGCAACATTCAAAAATATTTGTTTCTTTATTATTTTTGATGGCTATTTGTGTACTCGTTGATTATATGGTCAAATGTATGCAACGAACATTTAGAATCAGTATACTAATTCCCTATGTCCGCAAAAAAATACGTCAGAATTCGCCGCCGTTTACGATGAAATACAACGAAGTAATCCGGGGAGAAGTATTACGACGTCGTATTTCAAGTAATTGGATACGATCGTTTTAAACAATCGTATCCAATCACTCGAAATACTCGAAGTTAATTCGACTCTCTGTCCCCTTATCTCAATAGGTCTCATTTTCGCTAGTTACAATGTTACACTATCGGATTTTTGGACAAGTTTTCTTTTGAGACATATCTCTTTCGCAGATTAACTAAGTCCGTATATGTCACATAAAAGAATGAAAAACAACTTTTGATATAAAAGGGTCTCTTAAAAGGAATGTTTCTTAAGATAGCTGAGACAGATTTCATCGTGTTTTACCCGGTTTTCTCTTCGGGAACATAATTCAATCAGGGTCAATCATTCACCTCAGATTCACTTTGAAGTTGAGATCAAAACTTGTACACAATAGTTTTATTACCACACCCTCTCATTGTCTAAATCCTTTCTACTTGTCATAAGAATCATATTAATAGTCTTTTCTCATGTATTTCTCAATTATGGTTTGCCACATAACTGGCATTTGATCTCAAAATAAAAGTGAGAGTGGTTAAATGTTTTATAGCTCGCCTGTGAGCTGAACAGAAAATCGCGCTTTTCTGAGGAGGGAGGCATTTTTCTGAGATTGGGTCTATGGTATGGTACACCGCTACGCCCTGGTTCCAGATTTTTCCAGTCACCGTTTTGTTATCGACGATTGATTCCACTATGTTTTGCTAGGACTTTTCTTCGAGAATATAGTGCAATCAAATTTTAATGCGTTCGTCGAGCAGACAATGCTTTTGTCACCTGTTATAGGAGGTACTTTCTTTTTAAAGTAGAATACTTTTATACTCGAACTTTTTGCAGTTTATATCTACTTTTTAAAGTAGAACTAAATCATAAAATATAACCAATTTACAAAGTGCACAGCACTTGCAGTGAGCGAGAAAATACCGATATATAAAATCCTTTCTATTTTGCTGTCGCATAGTTGCAATTTTTCTTCATTCTTTTTGGGTATCAAAAATGATTCTTCTTTCTCATGCAATACACCAAATATAGGGGCTTTCCCAGTGTATAGACTCATTTAATGTTTGCTGTGTAAAGATCTCAACATAAAACTCCACAGAAGTGAGAAATGGATGAAAGGTTAATGTCATAACAATTATGAGTATCCTTGGTGTAATATTGCTTTGCCGTTAGTGACTCTCAGGATGTAGCGATGATCGGTTCGGTTCTATTTGGCGCCTGGAGGACTGGGGCTCAGCATTTCGCCTCATTCGCAGAATATTAGATTGGCTCTAATAACGGAATGATCCTAGCGATAATATATACGGATATCCATTCCGAAAGTCTAAGCGTGAATGTTTTCTTCACATATGGCAAACGTTACCTTACGGTAAAACTCACAGGCGAGCTATAAAACATTTAACCACTCTCACTTTTATTCTGAGATCAAATGCCAGTT